ATGCAATTCCTTCTACGTGGATGCAAGATGATGCAGATAACACAATTGCCCAAAGACAACCCAACCATATTTCAAGAGTTGGCGAAAATGACATATCAGCACCTGCTATTAGGAACGCAATAGCTTTGAGCTTTCGTGAGTACACAAGTACCATGTGAAATACTTTTATTGTTAAGCAATCCCGCTCTTAAAGAACCAAAAATAATCAAGTGTTTAAATAGGTAGGTAAAAATTTATATAACTATCTTGGATTATTTTCGATTCGAATATTGCCTAAAATTCCTGATTTAAACAAAAAATTCGTATGTATGCATATGCATATGTATAGTTGTATTTATTGCATATAAAAAACGATTGACATCATAATTTAAATTAAATTAAGAAAACAAAAACATTTCAAATAATAAAAATAAAATATACCACAGCCTTATTACTAAGACCTAAATCAACGAAAAAAAATTATTCAGATACAAAAAGATAAATTATACCACAGTCAGTGCGGCCAAAATGCCCAAGTCCATTTTTTCTTAATGTATATCATTTTGCACTCTATATATTGCAATGCTAAAGTGGACGTAAACTTTTTATTTTGACCCACATATTTTTTGCATCACTTTTTTAATAGTTCAAATATCAAAACATTGAAAATTAAATTATCTTTTGGATTAAAAGTAATTTACGAATATATAATATACTCTTGTGGTTATCTGATTAAGTTAAGTGACATTTTGATCCTTTATGGCTATTTTTCTTTTGTTTATTTGATGTTTATTATTGTTTTTATAAAAGTCTATCACATTACATAACCAGAACAACATAAATAAATATTTCGAACTTCAAACAAAACTTATAAAAATTCAGCGAACTTTACCAATTTGCCACAAAAATTTCAAACCATTTATTCAGATTTTTTAGAAAAAATGTATATTTAAGTATGCGGTTTCATAGCCCATTCAATTTCAGTACCATAAAGTGCAAGTTTCAAACGCTATAAAATCGCGTTGATTTTTAATATATTTTTTTGTTGTCGGTACTAGACATTTTCTTCCATATAAAATAAATTGCCGAGCATACTGTAAACGAAAAAAATGCAATAGGCTATGAAACTGCATACGTAAATTTAAATTTTGTCTAAAAAATCTGAATAAAAAGTTTAAATTTTTGTAAATTGGCAAAGTTTGCTGATTTTTTATAAATTTTGTACAAAGTTCGAAATATGTATTAATGTGGTGCTGGTTATTTAATATGATGGAGTTTTATAAAAAAAGTAATCACCAAATAAACAAAAGAAAAATAGCCAAATGTGGTCAAAATGTCACTTAACTTAATCTGCTGACCACAAGTGTACATACATAGATACTATTTACTAGCTCAGAAAGAAATAATAACGAAGAGATGGGTTAAAGTAAAAAGATCACGTTCACGCTTAAATTAAACTTCGCCTGTTAAATTTTATCAATTAAACGTTCAGATGAGGAATTGTTTTCTTTAATTGCGTTAACAATTTCCCCCGTCAATGTCCTTGTGTCATCTGCAACAGATTGTAAAATGTCTGTCTGCTGTTTCAAAAGTTTTGTAAACTCATTTATGTTGTTTCTCCTTCTTCCAGTTGCCGACATGTCAAGTGGTGACAACGGAGACTGCAATGCCCCTGGTGTTACCGCAGTGGAGGAGAGTGGAGGTGGCGACAACGGAGACCGCGATGGCCCTGCTGCTGCAGACTGGATGGGTGGGGTTTAGTACCGCTCACAACTATTTCGGGCTATTCCGTCCAAATGGGTGGCCCGATCCAAAAAAAATTTCACACACTTGTAGTCAAGGGTCCACGCAATATTTTAACACTCACTTTTGTAAATTTTGGTCACTAATTTATTTACAAATTGGGTTTGAAATATGCCCTTTTTTGTGAAATTCGGAAATTAGCGTACATTTATCACTCCTATTCTGCTTAAATTAGCCACTTCACCAATATATTTTTGTATTCCCCTTCACTTTACACTTTACTTGATTTGTTATAACTTGCTTTACGACTTTTATATTAACCAATTCATCACAATTCATTAAATAAAAACACCTTCAAAATCACGCGTCTGACTTTGGTTGCATATGCAAATTAAATGGCGGAGTTCAGCTGTCAAACTCCAAAATATGCAAAAGAATGAGAGACAAAAGAAGATAGGATATAACCCAGTAAGCATTAAAAATATACAAAGGTGTTCTCTGCAAAAGGTGTTCAGCTCCTTTTCTTCGCAAAACAGAAAGGAGAATTCTACTGCCTGAGGGTTATAATCCCTAAGTGCGGCCGAAGGCCGCCTACGTAGAAAGGTGTTCTCTGCAAAAGGTGTTCAGCCCCCTTCTTTGGCAACACAGAAAGGAGAATTCTACTGCCTGAGGGCTATAATCCCTAAGTGCGGCCGAAGGCCGCCTACGCAGAAAGGTGTTCTCTGTAAAAGGTGTTCAGCCCCCCTTCTTTGGCAACACAGAAAGGAGAATTCTACTGCCTGAGGGTTATAATCCCTATGTGCGGCCGAAGGCCGCTTACGTAGAAAGGAATTCTACGCAAAAATACATTTGTTAAAAAGAAATTTTTTTTTTTATAACAACTTTTTTTTTTCTATTTTTAATTAACTTTTTATTCTTTATTCAAAATCCCCCCATATCTAATTTGGCATAATTTCTTTTATTAAAAAATCCCACGGTTTCTGTTCATATTCATATTCCACTTCAAACTGCTCAGTTTGCCTAAGAAAAATCCGTTTTTCCCCCTTTTTCAAACGGTTCCCTAGGTGTCTGTGGGAGGAGTCCAAGGGGGGGGGGGCCCCTTTTTAGAAAGCGGCGACTGTCTCCTTTCTATTGGGGGGGATTTGGGGGCCCCGCCCCCTCCCCCTCCCCCTCCGATCTCTTCTCTCTATTTACCATCTATAATTAGAAAAGCGTTTTTATATTCATTAAAGGCTGAAAAAAATTTAATAAGCTATAATTACTTACTTCTCGCAGTCGTAAAATGTATTTGTTTTGTTTATGTCATTAGTGATGTGCTGAGGTGATACTTTTAAGTATTGATCGATACTCGGTACCGATTTCAATAGTATCCAATACTTTCGATACTCGGTACCAAAACTTTTAGGCTTCCAATAAGAACGCATGTAGACCAAAAATAAAAGCGGTGCAGGGGAGCCTAGCCTATCAAAAGCAAGTGTTGAGGCTAATAGAGGGTTTAGTGCTGATTCAAATGAAAAATATACCTTTTTCATCGCCAAAATGCAGAGAAACTCTTCCTTATTTGAAACTTTATTTTCCCAGGTGAATCGGACGATGTTATTTTTGTAGGCCTCAAAGACTTCTTCATCCGTCAAAGCACTTTTCTTGAGTTTTAGATTTACGAAGGTGAAAACTGATAGAATGGTATTTTACTGTTGCGATAAGGCCAAGACGATGAGAGTGTAGTTTTGCGACAGCAATATTGTCAATATGTGATTTCCACATTGTTCAACTTTTGGGAAAGCATCGTTCTATTCGTACTAATTGTGAAGCATATTCATAGTCGATAAAAGTCGATGCAGATTTCTTGACAGATATTATGTTGAAAATTATGTCAAAATGCTGCAATTATGTATAGAATAAGTTTTGGGTACCGAAAAGGAAGTATTGGGTACCGAAATACTGGGCAATTCAGCACATCACTATATGTCATTCACAAGGCTCTTTCACAATAGGCAGCTGCTGGCCGTTTTGAACAGTGTTGTCAACGAAAATTCCCATGATCCGAGTTAAGTTTGGGAATTAACTCTAGTACTTAGACTTAGACTTAGAACTTCAGTTAATTCCCGAGATAATTCGGAATTAGCGAGTTGATCCGGATCAACGCTGCCGTCTGTTTATGCTTTAACACAGATACGCCAATTACACTGTGAGACAAATGGTAGGGGTCAGTGATCGGGAAGGGTTCAAACTACCAGAGAAAGTTATATCGGTAAAAAAGAAGTTATACGTGTCCCGGCGTTTCGCTGGGTCACGTCTAGGAATCGAGATATATCGATTTCAAGTTAGTAACTATCATATAGGGGAAATTGTCACCTTTGGTGGTCTTTTTTTTGACATAACTCGAGAACTACTAGTCCGATTTTGCTCAAACAAATTAAAAAAAATTAAAAACTACAATTCCTTCAATCTGTTCATATAACGTTTTT